TTGATACGTTTGAGCAGACCCACCCACCTGTGATTTATCAATATCGCATGCGTAAGAATACCCAACAGGGCAGGACCCACTAGGCCCACTAAGATCTTCCTCGGATCAAGGAATAAGGCGACTTCTAGAAGGATGAGTCAACAGGAGACACGTCACAAAGGAAGAAGCAGGAGGAGAGTGTGAGTAGAGGATATTTAACAGAGAGTTTGTTGCATTTTATAGAGGGTATCTAGAAATTGGATCAAGTGAGAGAGGGGAGAGGAAACCCCTAAGAATATTTCCTGTTTGTATACATTCTGGGAATTTGAGGAATAAAGCTTGATCTTATTATCTTAATTTACAGAGTTTACATACGTTCATCTTATCAGTGTGCCTAGCCAAACTAGCTACTAAGTTTCAATCTTCCTAGAGCTCATGGCAACCAAATCTTCATTCTCTGTGTCATTGGACTTACCAGTGATCAGGGTAGATATGAACGGATGCGAAATCAATGTTTGATGAATTAGGGTTTCGAACAAAGTCCGTTCCAAGCTCAGAGGGCCACTGTTCTGGATTAACTGGCAGCCATTTCGGGTTCTTGGGACCATAGAAGCCTTCCAGGCCAACTGTGAGGAGATGTTTGTCATCAATTGATTTGATAAAGCCCGTCATTTCGTCTATCTAGTCCTGTGATCCCCGCAAGAAACACATTAATATTTTTCTGAGTAAGAAACAATATGAACGATTCAAAGTGACAAGTGAAATATAGGACTGACTTGGAGGGTGTCGCCAGAGACATCAGACGTGCATCGAGGCTCGTTTATCAACTCCCAAGCAAAAATCGTAGGGTCGTTTCTATACACTATTCCATTTACTGTGTTCTTGCGGGTTAGCAGAGCCTGCGAATCAAGAAACAGAATTCCATTTCTACCCTTTAGACTTGCTCACTCAGTGACCTATGTTCAATCGTATTTGCAAGCGGTGACGAGATAGACAAAAACCATTACCGTGAGATAGTTCTTGAAGTATTTGCGGATAGATGGATCAAAGAAGAAGGAATCATTGGAGGAGCTAAGACCAACACCATCTTGCCATGCCCATTTCACATACTGTGACTTGCCTCCGTAAGCTTGCAAGTTGTTCACTAAGCTAAGAAGCAATCTAATATCATGCTTCCTTGCCTCTGCAATTACATGATCCAAAGCCTGAACAAACATTATATACAAATCCCATTTAAACAAGAACCTAGAGAAATCATACACAAACATAGCAGAAAAAAAGAAACCTTAAAGACTCGTTCATCGAAACGGCCAGGAGAGATCTGAAGAGTGTTGTAGCCGCCGTCATTGAAAGCCCAAGTTCTACAAACAGTGAGACCCATCTTAGCTCCAGCTTCAAGCATTTCACCGACAAAGAATCTGCGGTGTTCATTCACCGCATGGTCCATGAACCAGTACGAGTTCCACCCATTTACATACAGAGCCTCACCATCAACCACGAACTGAGTTCCGTTCCGTTTCACAAACCCTAACTCGGTTTTCCCTTTGTGATTGAGCCACAAACCACGAATTGAGAAATAGATTAAAGCTGCACAAATCAGTAACCCTAGAATTGGTACCACTGGCCCGTTTCTTGCGGGAGCCATACACAGCAAAATTGGAGAAACAGCCCTTGTCGGTACCACCCAGAAGAAAAAAATTGTTTTTTATTTGGTGAATGGCTCTGAAATTTCAAACCTTTTTATGAAACCCACAAGGAAAAATTATTCCTTTATACCAAAATTAACAAGATTTGAAAAAAAGGCTCCCTTTAACGCTTTGGGCAAAATCGAGATTACAAACTAGCAGAAAAATGTGAGCTTTGATGAATAATTGAATAGCCACCCACCCACAAGGACTGAACAGATCTATGTATC